CCCCAAAACCCCAAAACCCCAAAACCCCAAAACCCCTCAAATTAGGATATAATTATTTAGGTTTGCTGATCAGTTCACTATTTTCAATGCTCATGTCATCCACATCCATCGTTGAGTCTTCATTAGCCTCTTCCTCAAGTTTGGCATCCCGTCTGGTCTTTCTACGAGGAGCATTCTTAACCTTCTCCTTCACTTGTTGCTGAGCTTTAGGCTGGATACTTTCTAACTTATCTTTTAGAGTTTTTCCTTTAATATGGTTCTTTTTCTGACCTCTTGCGTTGCGCCTACGATTTCTGCGTTCTCTTTCATCACTAGAGTCTCCATCACTTGAGTCATCATCATGCTTGTTATAATCGATACCTTCAATTTTCTGTTCAGAGTACTTAAGAATTTCGCTATCGAAGCCCATTTCCATTGATTTTTGAAGTTTTTCAACATCAATATTAACATCTGCATCAGAAGCTTCTGATTTCATCTCTTCGTCATCAGGAATATCATTTGGCCTTTCCATGAGGTTACCATCGATGCCCTTCTTTTCATCATAAAAGAGGCCATTTTTCTTGCGTTTTCTCATCGGTACTTTGCCACCTTTGTGCTTGTTCCTCTTACGTTTCTTTGTATCTTCAATTTCTTCAATAAAGTTAAGGAATTTATTGTCATTCTGCATCTGAGCGCTATCAGGTAGAATCTCCTCATTGGACTCCCTCCATCTTTTTAAATGAGCGAAGTTGTTGATGTTCTTGATCTGGATCAAGTTCATGACTCAGAAGATATGAGAGCAGATCATTTCAGTAGTGGAGAAGAATGGACAGTTACAAAAGAAACATTGCTTCACTTCTTTGATTTCTTGCTTCATGAGGTCCTTTGTCTCTGTTAAGATTCTTTCTACTCTTAAGGTGATGTTGTAATTTCTACCAGTGTCGGTTGTTACTTTGAAGGAAGTATCTGATTCAGTGTATGCTATGTACTTGTAAGATTCTATCAATTGATGCATCATTATAGATGTCGCGTATAAGGAAAAATTCTTCGCAATTGCTTTGTATACAGGATGATCCATATATGCATGAGCCTCCTTTGAGTTGCAAGCAAGCACACAATCTTTCTTTTCAAGTTTATCTCTTGTATGCTGAGTGATGGATAGGATTGTGTTCTCATATTTTAAAGACCTTGTGAATCCTTCTATAGCATCAGCTCTTTCTAACGAATGCAATCCTGCAGTGTAAGTCCCATTGACACTAACAAGTGACCATTTTTCAGCCTTAGAGAAGATATTGGCTACATTTCTTTCAACAGTAGAGTCAAAGCTAACCATTTTTAAAAAATCGCTCATTTTATTTTCAAATACTTCTTTTTCAGTTTCCATGACGATTTCTTCTATTTTATCAATCAGAACTATTCAATCAATGTCAGGCCTTCTTTTATGCTTTCCTAAGAGCTCTTTAACCTTGCTGACAATATAATATTGGGAGATAATCTGCTTGGAAGTCGGAAATATTCCTTGTAATACTGTAGAAATCTCATCATCAAGATTCAAAACTATGATTTTTGGCATCTCAATCTCATATTTCTCAGCTCGTTCTATGAACTTTTTAAAAATCCATTCATAAGCATTGATTCATTTGATGTCCAGAAAGCCAATACCGAAACAGATGGGGTACCCATGAATGTCAATGCCTGTAATATGAATGATATGGAATGAGTATCTATTCTTTCTGTATTTACTTACGTTTACCATGATTCATTCGTTATATTTGACATAAGCTTCAAGCATTTGTCTAGTCTGAACGAAGAGTACATAGGGAACTCCTTTGTTAAGCACAACATTAGAGCTATCAAATGCCTCTGTGATATTAGATCAGTCTTGAACTAAGGCTTGTTCATTAACTTCTCTGTCACCTTTGATTAGCTTGATCACATTGAGGATCTCGAGGCCTTCGATTTCAAGGCCAAATTTAGCCATTAATCTCTCTTGAATATCGCTAAGCTTGATACCTCTTTCAAACATTAAGATATCTCTTACTTCTCTGATGATGTCCTCTGATACAGTAACTTTCTCTTCAAGAGATCTTGGATGATCATGGACAATTTTGAAAGGTTCTTTTCTGATAAAGGAACCTTTTAATTTATCAAAGTAAAACCTGACGTTTACATTACACTCTGATAGTTTCACACTGGTCTGGGCATACTGGAACCGAGGATGGTACTTGGGCTTGTCACGCTTTGCTCAGCAAAGACTGAACATTGAAATCTGGTTTTTGGATTTTTGAATTTCATATTTTTTGAATTGGATTTGATGCTTATAGCCTAACGTATTGTAAGTGTCAAGTGCCTCTGTTGGTGTTGAAAATGAAGCTGGGAAGGAGGAAAAATTGAAGATGTAGTTCTTATCAGTAGCTCGCTTTTGCTCTTCAGGAGTCAAGTGCATGCTGTCAAATGCTGGATTTATATAAGTTATATCTGAAAATGAGGAGTCAACGGGGGGTTTTGCTGGGTCTGGAGTTTCGAACTGACTCACTGAAGGTGAAGGAGCATCAATATCTATAACTTGATTTACAGGTGGAGCAGGTGGTGGCAAAGCACTACTAGGAACTTCAGTGACAATATCCTCGTCACTATGTAACTCTGAATGCAAAGAACTTTTCGGAAATTCCATTATTTTCAACCAAAAATAAGCATATTGGGGTTTTGGGGTTTTGGGGTTTTGGGGTTTTGGGGTTTTGGGGTTTTGGGG